GAATCTCTGACACCAAACAAACAATAAGCAATGAAATTCATAGGAACAATCTAAAATCACTCTCCCCTCGGAAAACTCCGCTGCTATTGAAATGACACAGAGATGCCAATTTGAAATTCTTTCATGAACATAAGGATTAGGAAAAATCGTATTGGGAAAGAGTATTATGGACAGACGAAAGAGTATTATGGACAGACGAAACCAAATTTGAGTTGTTTGGGCATAATTCTATAAATCATACATGGAGGAAAGATGGTGGTGCCTTTAAACAAAAGAACACAGTTCCAAAATTGAAATTTGATGGTGGCAGTATCATGGTTTGGGGATGTTTCTCTGCAAAATGTTCTGGCAACATATCAGTAAAATGATTGCCGCAGCATATCAAAATACTTTGGAAGCAAATTTAAATATTTCGGTTGAAAATCTAGGGAAAACATACACATATATATGTGTGTATGGGTGTGTGTGTGCAGTGGGCTATGATAAGTTTTTAGCCACCCTTGATTACAGCAATTTTGACATGTGTAATAACGTCTCCTCTTTTTCTTTACAGACAATACCGTGATAGTATCAAGCTACTCTCATTTATGAACGATAGTTGACATATTTTACAATGATAGTCTGCGGAAGTAAAGAAATTGGTGAATTTCAACAATATCGCCACAGAGGAGCATTTCGGTTAGCAAGGTCAAAGGAGGTCAGGCTGTATGACGGTTCCATATAGTATACAGGTTCGATTCCTGTCGGAGGACGCATATTTTTTATTAAAATTTCTCGGACATTCAGTTCGGTAAATGTTGTTAATACTGTTTATTATAAGCAGAGCATTTACTTAAATATTTGTATCTATAAAAAAATGAATAAAAATGTCTTAAAATAATTGTCGAAACTTTGTCCATTTCATAATATATATATATATATATGTGTGTGTGTGTGTGTGTGTGTGTGTGTGTGTGAAAATATATAGAAAATAGGAAAGAACTGGTTAGGTAAATAATCCAAAGTTCCTTAGTATTTTAGTTATTATTTTTAAAAAAAGAGCATAAATATAATTATTTATTTAAAAATGGAACAGAGCTTACTTTAACTCAATTTAATTATATTGAAGTTTTCGGCTCTTGTTTCGAAACATGAGACCTCTTATGTCGCGAGTTGTAATCATATTTTTAAATAAATAATTATATATATATATATATATATATATATATATATATATATATATATATATATATATATATATGCTACAGTTCAAAGTTTTGAAGCATCTCCCAGAAAAAGGAAAAATATCTCTGAGAAAAAAGAATGGAATCAATTATTAAACTTATATTTTAAGAAAACTTTAAAAAAAACTGTATTGCAGTACTCAACGCTAAAGAAGGTTATTTTGGCTAAAGAAAAACTTAATCATCAATTGTTTTTTATTTTTGTCATAATAAGTTTTCTAATAAAATATGATGTCAGACTTTTTTCCAAACCACGTATAATAATTTCCTGTTATTTAAAGTGCAAAGCAGTTACTTTTTTCGGCTAATATAAAAAATTAACAGGGTATCCTCAAAATTTGGAACTGTAGTATATATATATATATATTAGTAATCTTATAAGTATAAGAAATTATACTCGTTCGGAAAACCTTCGGTGTCTTGATTTGCAAATAATCAAACCAATACCAAAGGGAAAAAAAGGTTATATAAAAAAAGAAAGAACCAAGAACATGTATGTCAGCCGAAAATAATCGTCTAGCATCCAAGTTCAAAGTCCAAAGAAAAAAAAACCTGATACCAGTAAGCAAAATAACTAAATACAAAACAATAAGTAGAGCAGTCCTAGTTAAAACCTAGAGCTAGAACAAAATTTAAATGTTTCACCTAAGCGGATCGTCAAAAGGCTGACGATCCGCTTAGGTGAAACCTTGATTGATTTTTCTGGCCCTCTAAGATTTAACTATATATATATATATATATATATATATATATATATATATATATATATAGATAGATAGATAGATAGATAGATAGATAGATAGATAGATATAGAATATGCGAGAAATAAATTCACAAATGTGTTCAGTGTACACAAGTACAGAGCAATTTCCTATACATAATCTGGTGTTTATTATTGTAATAGTTTGAATGTCTTGATATAGTGAAACACTCTTTGCTAATAATAAATTCACATTTAGCGTATGCGGGTCTATCCAGTAGAGCAAGAACTTGAACCTCCATGCTTTACATTGTTGAATCGTCTCTCGAAATAAATGAGTCTACTTTTATTATTCTATAACATATCTTTTTTAATTGATTCTTACCTGGCTCGGTCACTTTTTGTTTGTTTGTGTGTGTGTGTGTGTGTTTCGTTTTTTGTTTTTTTATAAACACTTACATTTCGAACAAGTTCTACCCAATGCCGCCTAAACTTTAAGAATTTAAACACAGTATTAGATTGGTAACAAGGTCTAATCAATTTACTAGGCTAGATGTAACCGTAAGTTCTATGCAAACAGTATCTTCTCTCACATTTCTTGATTGTGGAACTCCCTTCCGGCTAACTATATATATCAAGTGTTTTGAGCCCAGTTTGGAGTTAACTATTTGCCCATACCTGGGACCCTAACCGAAGCTACCACTCCGGCGTCAGGGTGGACCAGGGAACTCCAGCAATCATTGGATATTTAATGACGACAACATTTTTAGGATAGATTCGTATGAATAGAATATCTATTCTTTGGTTTAGATTGGTTTGGTTTATTTTGTTTAACGGCATATCAACATCAATGCTGACAAAATATTTTATTGCCGATAATATTTTGTTTTATCAAAAATCTATTTCTGGTTATATTTTTCCTTTTAAAATGTACCGCTGGCAATAATATTGTCTTCTTTTTTTCTTTTTTCTTTTCAAAAATGTATTTCTGGTAATAGGTTTTTTTCTTCAAAAATTTATTGCTGGTAATAATTTTTTACAAAGTATTTCTGGTATTAAAACCTATTTTTAAATTTTCATATTGTTTTTATCCCAGTTTTAGGGTTAACTATTTGCCCATATCTGGGACCCTAACAGGTGTTACACCCCACCCCGGGTTAGGGTGGACCTGGGAATATCAGCAATTAAGAGGTGGTTCCACGACCCTCAAAACCTCCTGGTCAGAGGCCTTGCTGCTGGACGTAGTTTATCGTCTTACCCAGGACGCGGATGTAGTTTCTCGTCTTACCCAGGACGCGGATGTAGTTTCTCGTCTTACCCAGGACACAGATGTAATTTATCGTCTTACCCAGGACACGGATGTAGTTTATCGTCTTACCCAGGACGCGGATGTAGTTTATCGTCATACACAGGACGTTATTTTCATAAGAATCTACGATGAAATTTACGGATATCATGATGGGTTACATAATACGTTTGCATAGTGACTTTCGACGATTATTTTTATTTTTATTTATTTTTATTTTTTTTTTTTTGGTAGGGGATATTTTTCTAACTTTTCAAAGTTGGGATATTTAAGGTCCTAGTCGGCTAGGGTTGACGAGGTAATATAGTTTGCATTTTCATTTTTTCTGCAGGGCTGATTCGTGTCGCCGTAATTGTGCACGACATACGATTAACACGAGGGAGATAGACTGTTTTAACTGTTATGGTTTGGCTTTGTTTAGCGTTTTTTTTTTCTTCTACTTCGCTTTGTTATCTTTACTCCAGTTGCTACCTCTCGGTTTGATAGCGGTGAAAATACCAGTGATATGTGCGAATCGATATTTATTAACGAAGTCCCCGAAAGCCACGTTCGCAAATTGTCCTCCGTCAATTTCGCTCTGAATTTCCCATCTGGCTAAGATATTTTTCACCTCGCCAATAACGTTGGCGCTGCTCAGTGGATGGAGGCGTGTTATTTCTAAGTAAAGTCAGAAATAGTTATTCACCTCAGCGTACTTATATCTCTTAAGTAACATGACCTTCATAGCAAGAATGTTGGCTTCAACATTTCATTTCGATAGAAGGTATCGATTACAAAAGCCCTCTATTTCCTGAGATATCACAGTCCACCATACACATGCACGCTCTCTCCACATCATGTTTTGACTCGCATAACTGCTGTTATTTGTCCGTATTGACTGCACCTTAGGGGATTCTAGGATAGCTATTCAATTTCAGTGTCAAAACAATGGAAGTGCAGTTGGTGTAACGGACATCGCCGCGGAAAGTGAAATCGGCGAATCGAGTTCAATTTCCTGGCAGTTTTTTTTTTACGTTCATTTTCGCACTAATTTTCTTGGGGAAAACATCTCTTCTGCACTCCTCATCTATGGGTTAAATAACAAGTTAGACGATCCAAGAATAGAGAGACCAGTCTACCTTGCCAGACTTAAAACACTGATTTCAAAATCATTTAACAGGCAACGGGAAATCACTCCACCCTGCCGGGGGAGGATTATCACCTCTCAGTTGCGTCTCTGGCTTCGGGCAGATTGCGACTGAGTTGTGACACTATCTGCGGACAGAGACACGGCCTGGGAAAATAAAAACTGTGAGGTGCCCGGTCCCGGGGGAAACAGCTGCTCGAAGCTGCCCCTCGCCGTATCATTAGAGATTGGGGATCAGTAGTCATACTGATGCTAACGCAACCGACAGTTCCGGGGTGGGGCAATTTTTGTCACTGACCCGAAAATACATTAAAACCGACCTTGTGTCACATCCCGTTTCAGTGGCTTCGGTAAATACAATCACTCCACTGTCTAGCACAAATTGAGTGATTGTTTTTTTTATGCCTTATTAACCCTTTTCAGGTTATCTAAAGCCAGAAAAAATTTAGATTAAAAGAATTTATTTCTGGAGATAATGGCTTAGAGATGCAAGTCTTACTAATTAACCCATATCTGAGGGACATTCATATCTTTCCCAAGGATATTTGCGCGCAAGTGAATATAACAAACCCAACGTGAATTCGATCTCGGCTGTCCGATTAACGATTCCGAGAGATTATCCATTACACCATCCGCACATCCAAGCTTACAGCACTTGGTAATCCCAAGCGGTTACCCATCTAGGTAGTAGCCAGGTTCAACGTCGCTTATCTTCGGTGATCATAGGATAACCGGTGTTTCAACGTGATGTGGTTGTAAGCCTTCTCTACCACAAACATGTATTGCAACTGATAGATAATCAAAAAGGAACGTGTGGAGAGCCATAATTACCTATTTTTTCTAAATATTTACTCAGTGCAAGGCCTAAGGGTCACTCAATATAGAGGGTTACTGAATGCGATTTTTGTTTAGACATAAGAAGAATAAGTGCAGATTATGTGGGACAGATAACGGTTGGCCTTATCTTTGAGAATGTAAGATCGTAGTAATCGAGAAAGTACCCTCTCGGGAGTCTTTTCCACAAAGTAGCGGTTCTCGGGAAGAAACCATCTGAGTGGCACTTCCTTCTTATCAAAGGAGACGAGGATGATTCAACCTTGTGTATGTGGTATGGCTTGTGCTAACTGTAAAGGTTTCAAATGGTGGAACCAAGGAAGTACCTTGTCTGAACATTTGCCATGGAAATAGCGATAGAGTAGAGATAGGCTTGCGACGTTTCGACTGTGGGGAAAATGGCTGTAAAGTTGAAGATATTTCATCACCCACATGTGATGTTTTTGAGCGCTATTAAGGATTCAAGCTATTAAGGATTACTAAAATGACACAAATTCGCAAAACCGTTTCTCTTAATTTCGGGGCAGTGTAATGGTTAACAAGCTTGTCTGGCTAGATCCGTTACGAAAGAGTAGTAAGTTCGACCTTCACTGGCCAATACTTTCGGCCTTGTGCCATATCTAAGATATGATTAGAAATTAAAGTTAAACTCTTCGATGTGGTGTAATGATTAGCAAGGCTGTCTCGCTTGAACAATTACGACAAAATAGTAAGTTCGATCCTGACTGGGTGCCCCATACAGTCAGTCTTGTACTAAAGCTAAGCTATTCTTAGAAAATAATTTTAGGCAATTCGACGTAGTATATGGTTGGCAAGCTTGTCTCGCTAGTACAATTTAGAAAGATCGATGCTCACTGAGTACTCCATACTTTAGGCCTTGTGCCACATCTAAGCTACGCTTAGAAAGTAATTGTAGGCATTACGACGTGGTGTAATGATTAACAAGTTTGTTTCGCTAGATGAATTTCGAAGATTAGTGCGTTCGATCCAAGCTATCTGGCCCATACTTTCGGCCTTGTGCCATATCTAAGATATGCTTGGACAACTCGAGTGATGTAATGGCTAGCAAGCTTATCTCACTAGAACAATTATGACTGCGTAATGAGTTCAATCCTCACTGGGTGCCTCATACTTTCGTATTTGTACTAAAGCTTAGCTATTCTTAGAAAATAATTTTAGGCAATTCGACGTGGTGTATGGTTGACAAACTTGTCTCGCTAGTACAATTTTGAGAGACCGATGCTCACTGGGTACTCCATAATTTAGGCCTTGTGCCACATCTAACCTACGCTTAGAAAGTAATTGTAGGCATTACGACGTGGTGTAATGGTTAACAAGTTTGTCTCGCTAGATGAATTACGAAAGATTCTAACTGGCTGGCCCATACTTTCGGCCTTGTGCTATATCTAAGATATGCTTGGGTTCCTCGAGGTTGCGTAATGGCTAAGCAAGCTTGTCTCACTAGAACAGTTACGACTGAGTAGTGAGTTCGATCCTCACTGGGTGCCCCATGCTTTCGGCCTTGTGCCACATGTGAGCTACGCTTGGAAAATCACTAAGATATGCTTAGAAAATCATCATAATTTCATAAAGAAAAAAAACTTGAATATAAACGTGAGAATCTATTCTGGAAAAGACTGAATGTGTTAAATGTATAACTTCTTGAAATGTCTTATGAGTAGCGGTCTGAATTTCCAGTATATATTCACCACCGATCTTCTGGAAAGGGATGATTCCCTTTATAATCTAGACAAAATTACGAGTAAGCTTTTGAATTCCCCACGATTAACACAGGGGGCGTTGTGTGCAGCACGCAATCATTCAATTCTTTTCACAATCGATGATGCTACATTGATAGAAAAGAAACAGAATTAGTGGGTTCGAACGTGTGATATTGAATTGTTACTGCAAGAACACAGAATCCATGGTTGTTAGCAAAAGGATGAGCCTAGAATGCAAATTATAAATTGTAATACAACTATTTAAATATCTGAAAAGTTTTCACAGAGGACGGAAAATGCGTCACTGAATTCCAACGTCGTATTTGGATATCAAAAGCTATATTCCCAAATTAATAAAAAAAAAAAAAATCTCTTTAGAAACTAAGAAAAGAGTACTGGACATTTACGTAATATCAGTCCCTTCAATGAATGCTGGACAATCTCCTCAGAGATGAAGAAGAGACATGAGCCAACAGAAATGCGGTTCTACAGAAGGATCCTGAGAATACCGTGGACCGAAGAAGAAGTTTTAGATAAATATGGAAACAAAAAGGACATTTATACTTAATATCCGGAAGAGAGAGCTAGAATTTCTAAGGTAAAAGATGAGAAAAGAGGGTTTGGAAAATTTGATACTCACAGGACAGATTGAAGGCAAGGGAAAAACAACGCACAACTTACCAAGTGAACTTGAGTAGATGGTTGACGAAAGAAGGTTTACAATAGAGAAGAAAAAGTTTATTAAGAGCTACAAAGAACTGAACATTGTGGAGAGCCATGATCGCCAACGTCCTGAAGGGATACGATATATAAAAGAAGAATATATATCATACACCGCACTTAGCACTACTTTTTATTGACTGTAAATCTCTACCTTGAGTGGCCCACGAGCTTTATTTAGAGTGATATGTTACTATTAAAAAAATCTAGAACCGTAATTAGTGTATGCATTATTAAATTTTTACTGCAAGAAGTCAGAATGTGTGGTTGTTAGCAAAAGGGACAGCCCAACGTGCAAATTACAAATTGGGGATACCAAAATCAAACAGGGGGAACAATTTAGAGATCTGGGAAGCGTACTGTGTATTAAAAACGATTCCGGCAAGATTTTTTCCTCAATTCCTCCTCTTCCTTGAAATATAATTATTTGGCACGGCAGGGTTTTTTTTTTAATTGTTTTTCCAGTGTCTGGGCTTCCGACGATATTTCAATCAGGATATCTTCATTTAATGGGTCAGTCTTTATTTTCCTCTTATCCTCGTAACTCGCGACTTTTTCTTTTGTGGTTCTACAGAAGGATACTGAGAATACCATACACCAAACATATGAGCAACTACGAAATTTTAGAGAAAACGGAAACAAAAGGAAACCTAATACTCAACATCCGAAAGAGACAATAGAAAATTCTTGCACACATAGTGAGGAAAGAGGTCTTGGGATGTTCGATGTACACATGGCAGATTTAAGGTAAAAAAAATAAACAGAGGAAAACAATGCATAAACTACCGAGAGACCTTAAGTAAATGGATGACGAAAGAAGGTTTAGGACAGATAACAAAAGGACAACATTTATTAAGAGCTACGAAGAACAGGCGACGTTCTGTGCAGCATGCAATCATTTGGGGTTTTTTTTAAGAATCGATGACGCTGTAGCGATAAAAGACATATGTAATTAGTAGGCTCAGATATGTATTATTGAATTTTTACTGCAAGTAGTCAGAATGGGTGGTTGTTAGCAAAAGGGACACACCAACATGCAAATTACAAATTGGGGATACCAAAATTAAACAAGTACAACAATTTAAATATTTGGACGGAGTCTGTGACACTGAAAATTCAAGGGAGCATTGGGATAGCGAAAGCTGCATTCTAAAATTAACGAGAAAGAAAAATCTCTTTAGAAACAAAGAAAGGAATAGTGAACTGTTGCGTAACATCAGTGCGCCTATATAGCAGTAAATGTTGGACAATCTCAGGAATTAGAGACATGAAGCAACAAAAATGCGGTTCTACAGAAGGATGCTGAGAATAACATGGATCCAACATGTGCGTAACGACGAAGTTTTCGATAAAAAATAAAAACAAAAAGGACAATTATACATAACATCAGGAAGAGGGAGTCGAAATTTCTATGGAAAGAGGGCTTGGAAAATTTAATATGCAGAGGGATAGATTGACGGCAAGAGGGACAGAGGAAAAATAACGGATAACCTACCTAGCGAGCTTTTGTTAATGGATGACAAAACCGGTTTTACAAGAGATAATAAAAAGACAACATCAGTTAAGAGCTACAGAGGGCAGGAAATTTTGGAGTCGTGATCGTCAACGTCCTAAATGGACACGGTACGCTGAAGTAGGAGAATTAAAAAAAAACTAAAAGAAAACCTCTATAAATGTAGAGAAAATGGAAACAAAAAGACGCTTATACTTAATTTCAGAAAAAAAAAACCGGTTGAAATGTCTATGGTGCACAATGAGAAAAGAAGGTATGGAAAATGTGATACTCACAGGACTGAATGAAGGCAAGAGGGGCAACGGTTAACCTAGCTGATAAGCTTGAGTAAATAGATGGCGAATCAAGGTTTAGCATAAAAACAAAATTTAATATGAACGACAAATGGAGAAGAAATTGTAAGATCGCGAACGTCGTGAAAGGATACAGCCCAGTGATAAAAACGATAACGTGACTTCTGTTGGTTCGGCAAAATGAATCTGCCATCACTGCTCTGTGTGTAGGCTTGCAGAAAAATTAGTTGTGTATATATAGCCTTTTTGTGTTACTGTCTTTTACGCTTGTCTCATTTGAACCACAAACTTTAAATATTATCCCACATTCACGACGGTGGGGGATTTGGAATTTAGTTTTCCTTCTGTTAGATTGGTTGCTAATAAAGTCTAGTGAGTTCAATCTGCTCTTCTATTTAACTTATAGTGGGGGTGGGGGCGAAGAGACGGATTCGCGTGTGCGAAAGTGAACGCAACAGACTAATCCTGAATTTGAACTCTGATTGTCGAGTCCACTTTTCTCGCTGAGCCGATCAGATAAATAACCCCCTAAAAATCTCGTCTCGCTATTGAAAATATTCTTAATCTTTACAAAGTTCAATTTTTGCTACCATTTAACAGACAACAGCCTAATATGTGACATATGCTTTTTTTTTTCTTTTTTTTTTTTTTTGGGGGGGCTGTGGGAGGTTACAA